AAAAGGCCCCCCCCCCCCCCCATGTTGATAATAACTCCTTAAACTGAATCATGTGGCATGTGCATTCATTAAAGGTGACCATTAAGGAGCTTTTTGCACTCTATTTTTCGCAAGAAACTCAAGCTGACCACCAAGTCAGAATTCTTGATCGAATGTTTAGAGCTCTTTTCCAAGTTAGGTACTTTGAAAGAGTCTCAATAAGCAATGCCAAAAATACTTTGATAACTTGGTCTTCTTTGGTTTCAAATTTCAATGTCTTATAAATACAAAGAGTTATCATTTTTCAAAACAATAGATGACTCTTAAAAAGCACATCAAAGGCATATTTCTGTGTTAAAAAAGTGTTGATATTACGTTTCATTCATTATCAATTCAGAATTTGACCATTAAACCTTTATATTAATTATGGGTAACATGGAGACGATTCTCCTCTAACAATTGACTTCAAAAATGTATACACAGATTCCCACAAGTGGCAAAAAAAAGGGTGATTTCTTCCCTTCTACCTAGGCTTTAGTTGCCATAATTACTCGGTACCCGTGCTGGTGGGAGGTAACATACGTTGTGGAATAGCCGAGGTGTGTGCAAGCTGGCCTGAACACCACCGTCATAAAAAAAATTGTATACACAGATACCTATATATTTGTTTTTGCTATTTCTGAAAGAGTCAAAGAGTCATGCTCACCCATCTTTATCAATGATTTCCTCTAAGCATTCTCCATGCAATTAGTAATTAGTATACATTTCATTCAATGGCTTTGGCAACCCTTGAGATAATTTCTCCTTTATTATGTGTTGACTTTCTGCCAATCTTCCCCTCCCCCCAAACCACCGGTTGGCTAGGACATCATGGAATCCCGCTGGCAACTTATCCTTGAGCTTCCAAAGAAGCACTAGTTCCAGTCCAGCCCAGCCTCTTTTCTGATTTGGAGAGTTGATGATGTAATATCGATAAAGGTTCCACCAGTGTTGGGAAAAGCGCCCCCACTTCAACGATTAAAGCGCGAAGCGGGCAGTTGGTCGCTTCTGTGTTGTGAAGCATAGCAGGTGATATAAAGCTTGCGCTTCTGCCAAAAAAGCAAGAAGCGTGAGTAGCGGCAGAAGCGAGTGCTTCGGTATATTAACTATTAAGTGGCTGCCAACGGTAAATATAAAAAAGCTCTCTATTCAAAACATCACCGAGCAGTAGAGAAAAATAGGCGACTAAGGTTCCAATTTTGTGCACTTTTCAAGTTCAAGCTTATCAAGTTCAAGACCTCTCTATTTTCAAACCATCGTCGAGCAACAGAGAAAAACATGCGACTAGGGTTCCCATTTTCTGCACTTTTCAAGTTCAACAAGTTCAAGCCCAGGTATGTAATTTCCTCCTCCTCCTCCCCTTCAACTGTTTCACTCTTACATTGCAGCGAATGCTGCCCAATTTTTTTCTTACTTACTGCCAATTTCCTTCCGTTCTTCTTTTCCTTCAGTATTTTTTAAAAAAAATCGCTTTACTTAAAAAAAAGCGAGCGCTTCGCTTCTCGCTTCAAGCGAAAAGGGGCTTGTCGCTTTTCCTCGCTTCATGCTCTTCACAACACTGGGTTCCACACTGTCAGTCTATCAGACAGTGAAATGGAGATGAAGAGGAAATTTATAACTTAATGGCTAACCTAATGTTGGAGACCAGAAGCTCTAACCTGCTACATCTTCCTGAACTTTTAAACAGATGCCATGCTTGCCTTGCTTGACAACCTTCTCCTTTGGTGCTTTTCAGTTACAATCTCATGTAATACCACCCCCTTGTTTATACTCTTGCCACTGAGGCTCAACATTTCAGAATTAACCTGCGGAGAGCTCGAAAGTCTTAAAAGTCCTCAACAATGAGCTCTACTTCAGGCATCAAAAAGGGTGACCGGTGATATAAAATATGAATTAAGATCCAAACCTATTCCACTTAAACATGATCACTACATCAGAACCCACGAAACCTTGCTATAAAAATTAATCGGGAACAAACCCTTCTCCTAATTATACTTTTCTAGGACAGTTAGAAAATTATCCAAAAGTAATCTATATTTAAAAAATTTTGTTTTTAAAAAAGGAACCTCCAGCAGGAAAGAGCCATAAGGCTAATATCCATTACATGTTCCATCATCACATCCGTTGGTGTATCCGATCTCCAAACCCTTGAATAAAAACCTATCAACAAACTAACCAATTTAATGAACTACACCTCAATCTCAAACTAACTGCGTCAGCTATATAAACCGCCACATTCGTTCAGCTCTATTCAGACTCATTTCACTTCAATATACAGGACCAAAAGTAATGTAACAACAACCCAAGTTCCCCTAAATGGGGAGGGTTGGGTAGGCTGACTGCCAAAATATGATCAATTGTCTGAAAATTCCATGAAAAGTCATACTGTCAAAACATATTATATAACAGATAATTACACTATTAAAAAATAAAAAATTGTTGGCGAGGGTTCGATTCTCCGTGCAATCCGCTCCCCCATTTTCCCTTTAAATCCAAAATTGAAAACAGAGATAAAGAAAGAAAGGCAAGAAAATATCAACGAAAATAAAAGACAGACCTGTATTTGGCCTGCCCATGAGCTCGAAGTTCAGCTTGATATTTGCTCTTGCAAGTATCCAAAGGATATAATATAGTGGTGCTTAGCAAAGATCCTACCGCACCAGAAGTTGCCTCAGCCAAAGACTCCATATTTAAAGCCATAATAGAATACTCTTTATCCAAACAACAGAAAAGAATCAAGAACAAGTAAATTTAACTGAATTTTGAAGAAATCTTTAGGGAAAGGAAGCAGATAGTGGTGGGATTGAGGTGCTGCCACTTTGCAAGAAAAGTGGGCGTGACAAAGATTGGTGTCTGAAAGATTAAGTTGGGTTTTTAAGTAGGCACATTGGGAGTCGGAAACGTGATGCGATGGACTTGTCACTAGAGGCGCGGTAAGATTTCGAAATTAGCTTATTTTGATAGCGTTTTTTCTCTCGAAAAGAATAGTTTGGGCGAGAAAAAGTTTGTATTCAGTTAATTAATTTAAAAAGTAATTTTGAGCTGTAATTAATGTTTGACCCAACTTTTAAAAAATGCTTCTAACAGCTTGTTTGGATGGTTGTTACATATTGTATTGTATTGTATCGTATCATATTGTTACATTAAATATGATGTTTGTTTTGGTTGTTACTTAAATTTTATTATATGATATCATTTAATTCGTCGTTACGTAACGACAAAATGTGGCACTTTATGTAACGACCGATTTGGTATGATTGCATCATTATCTTTTCTTTTTCTCTCATCTCACCCTTCATTATTATTAAATAATTTTGTTTTATGATTTACCCTACCTTTTTATATAACAAATTTATCGTGTATCATAATTTTACTTTATAATATTACAAGTTTATGCTTGGTATTGCTTGTGTGTGATATAATGAAACAATAACAATACAATTTATGCAAACATTGTATTCTTCAAATGATACAGTACAATACAATATGACACATTATGAAACGATGTGTAACAACCATCCAAACAAGCTTTAAGTATAATTTTTCTCAAAGACGCTTTTCAAAAAAGTATTTTTGGGGAGAAACTACTTTTTTCTGCTTTTGCTTCGCCTCAAAAATACCTTTTTTTTCTTCCAAAAGTTTGGCCAAACACCTCAACTTTAAAAAAAATGCTTCTAGAATTGGAGAAACTTGGCCAAACAGGCTATAAATTCCTTTGATGGTCACTCAAGTACTGGAATATCTTATTAAAGTCACTTTTATTTTATTTAGGACTATAAAGTCACCCAATAATATTATTTGACTAAAAAATAAAAACCACATATTTGATATACCTTTATCATATTAAAATTTTATTTTTTATTAATAAAATTCATTTAACTCATAACCCAAGTACTTATCAAACTTGCCTAACAAGTAAATGTGTCTACATTAAAATTTTCTAGCCTATTCATATTTTCACATATTCCTTCGTGAAATCAAACGACATTTTACATAGAACTTATCAAATTAGTCAATCATGGCTTAGACAATGAGTCCTTGATCTACTTTTTAAAATTAATTCTAGGGTTAATTTTACTGATGGTCACTCAACTATTTCAATTTTACTAAAGTCACTCAACTATTTTTTGTCACCTAAAAATAAATAAACTTTCACATTGTCACTTAAAAGTCATTTTGGCTCAAACTTCCTACCATAAATATGACATAGTATAAAATTTAATGAGAAAAATCAAAAAATAAATATCACATAAGCTTAAATGGGTCATACCTACTTTAGATCCATTTCTTCTTTAACGTGATTTGACCCATAACCCAAATGCTTTCAATAAAAAAAATAATTAAATTTCACATTAGTTTAAAATAATTATCCTATATTATAAAATTCTTGCATTTTCTGTTACATAATGCACATTTATAATTATTCTATACTAAAAAAATGCTTATCTTGTTTGTATGCCCCATCCGAGTCGTTTTATAACTCTACTGAAGTTAAAATAGTACTGTATCCAACTCACATAACATATTTATAATTTTTTAGTGAAATTAAAATAGTATTGTATTCATCTTACATAACATGTTAATGTATCATAAGCATACGAAAATAATAATAAGGCTAATAAGTGTCTATTTTCACAATGAGCATGCAATTACACACAATCTATTGCAATTGTTTAGACAAAAGAAATATTTTATTTGTACGATAAAAACCTCACAAAAAATCACAAGACCTAATTTTATTAGGGGTGTGTGTTTTTCCCCTATTGAAACCCATTTGGGTTATGTGTCAAATCACATTAAAGGAGAAATGAATCTAAAGTAGGTATAGTCCATTTAAGCTTATGTTGCATTTATTTTTAAATTTTTCTCATTAAATTTTATGTTATGTCATATTTATAGTAGGGAGTTTGAGCCAAAATGACTTTTAAGTGACAATGTGAAAGTTTAGTTACTTTTAAGTGACGAAAAATAGTTGAGTGACTTTAGTGAAATTGAAACATAATTGAGAGACCATCAGTGAAATTAACCCATTAATTAACTTCTTTTTTTCTTCCTTTGCTGGTTTATGACTTCATGGAGATGCAGCCGGCGATGGAGTTGATTGGCCCTCTTCAGCAAAAGAAGAGTGGAAACTCTAAAAAAAAAATTAGGAATTATTTATTTACCATCTTTTGTTAGTCATGTGTAACATATCTTTTTTGATGAACTACCTATGTGAAACACTTCTTAAGGCACATTATTTGTGTCTTTCGTTTGCTAAAACTTGTGTCCATATTATAGTTTGAAATGGATTGTAGGTAAATGCACAATTTCAATTATGAGCCAAACCTGCAAGCTTATGTAATCGTGTTGGTGATAGAGTTTAAAGTGGCTATTTAATGCTATTCATGTGGTCCTTGTAGATCACGGAACTATAGCAATTGAATACTAGGTGATTTTCAATTAAACAAACACAAAGAGAGAGATTTACCTATAATTTCAAAACAAAGTAATCGGAACTGCTTAACATTAATATATTGATTAATTGTATTAACCACTTAACATGGACCATCAGCCAAAAGTTAAAAAATAATAACCGTCTTTCTTACTATTAACATGGACAAATCGTAATCGTGTTAGATTTCCCTTTAGTTTGAAAACAAAGAGTTCTTACGTTAATATATTGATAGTAAACCCATTTTTTGGTTGGATGGGTTAAATGGGTACTTGGGCGGTCACATGGATTTTATTAGTAAAAAAATAAAATTTAAAAATGATATAATATATGTGAGCACGTGAGTTTTGCCCCACATGAATTACTCCTACAGAATTCTAAAGAATTAAATTTTTCTTTTAATTGTTTCGTATTTTAGGAATTATTGTAGAGTTTTTCTAATTATTTGCATTTTTGTGTGCATGTTTAATTTTATTTAATTCATAAAAAATACAAAAATATATTGCATTTGCATTTAGGATTTAATTTTACATTTTAGATTAATTAAGAAAATTAGTTGTTTTATAAAATAGAAAAGACCACAAAAATAGTTCAATTTGCATTTTAACTATTTAATTTGAATTTTATAGTTCTTATTTAAACTTAGGACTTAGTTAATTATTATAAATATTATATTGAGTATTTAATATAATTGGTAGGTTAATTTAATTTTTAAGAGTTAATTTAGGTTTTATTTTAATTTGAAAAAGAAAAAGAAAGTATGAATTTGAAAAAGAAAAGAAAAGGAAATAAAGAATAGGATTTTTGGGCTCTTTTAATTAAATATCCCCATGCCCAAATCATTTTCCCCCAAGACCCTCTCAAACCGGCCTAAACCCGTGTCTCCAACCCGGTCCGCCTTTCTTGTTAACCAAACGACACCATTTGGAGTTTTCCCCGCTCAAACTAATCATAGCCCGTCATCTCAGCTCATCCAACGGCTGAAACCACTTTCTCATTTTAATTAAATTTATCCGAAAACTTCAGAGACAGCCTAGTCCAAACATAACCCCCTCGGTCCATCTCTCTCGTCTCTTTCATGTAAACCCTAGCGCCGCCTCTAAAAATCCACCATTTTCACCGGCCAAGCCACCTCCAATCAACCCCCAAATAAACACCACATAACAATTATTCACCCCTGACCCACAAGCCATCACCATATTCCTTCAAATCAACACCAAGCGAAGCTAATTTCAGATCTAAAAAAGGGTAGAAGAGCGAAAGCAAAATTCTCCCAAGTTTTTTCAGGCTTCGATGACTTGGTTAGGGTCGTAATTGTTGTTTCTCGTCGGTTTTTAACAAGAATCCACGACGAATACCAATTGCGGCTCGAAATCGAAAGAGGTAGAGGTCCTTTCAAGCCATTTCCGTCCTTTACTCTAGGTATTTAAGTTCTTTCTTTATTTTTGTTCATTCCACTCCTCATCTCTTCTGATTTTCTATTTCCTTTTCTCTGTTTTTTGTTGGTTAAATATTTTGTGCATAATTAGGATTAAGTCACAATTAGTTTAAATTAATTGCTTTGTTAAACATGTGTTGATTTTCTTTGTCTCTTAATATTTTAATTTGTTTCGAAAATAAAGGTCTCATGTTTCATATTTATATTACTTTGTTTGGGGAGTTCCTTTATGAATTAAATTGGGTTCTATTAAGTCAAAAACCTAAAGAAAAGGGATTAGCCCAGGTTTTTGCAAGCCCATGTCTGGCTGAACTTTGGGTCAATTTGACCCGTTTGGTTCCAAGGGTAAATAACAAGGGTTTAAGGGGTAGTTTAGGGAATTTAGGTTAGGGAATCTATTGTAACTGATTGGGGAAACTTCTAGGAAGGTGGGATTAGGGCTATTTTGAAAAAAATGATTTTTAAATTAAGGACATAGGAGCAAAAACGAAAATTCAAAAAGGAGTAAAGGGCAAAAACTGAACTTATTTCTGCTGCCCTAAAGCTTCACTATATAGGTTTGTTTCTTCACTTCCAAGTTAGAATTTAGAGATTGAAAAATACTGAAAAACTTTAGGAACAACTAAGCTTCTTCTAGACTCTAAAATACTGAAATTTGCCTAGAATTGGTTGGTCCCTGCTCCTTAAGTTCCCTGTTAGTCAGATTTTTCAAAAGCTCTGAAAGTTGTATTGATTTTGGGTTTGAAGCTGGGTCAAAAGGTTGAGTAATTGCTGATTGTTTGGCTGTTTTAGCTGCTGATACTTTGCTGTTGTTGCTTCTTAAACTCCCAGCTCATTTTTCCTTGTTGTTTTGCTGTTGTAGCCAGGTATTCACTACATTTCCTTGACATGTGAAATGGAAGAACATGAAGTTGTTTGGTTTGAGCTGAAAATCTATGACATATCAGTTTATTCAATAATGTCTTCTGCACTCTTGAAATTAGTCGATTCCGCAGTTAGTTTTAG